CCCCCCCCCCCCCCCAGCATGCCCGCGCCTGGCAGACGTACAGAAAACAGCTGGTAGAAAGTGGGCCTCACCAGCTACTGTAACACGGGCCTCCATGTCGGGAAACGGATTTTTTCACACCGCTTTTGAAGATTCCAACATTCGCACAAAGCAGGGTGAGCTCTGCGGCGCTTAACGGAATCCTTTTGGGTTTGAGTCTGTGTGTGTATGGCGGGGGGACGGGGGGGTGGCTCTGAAGAGACTCCAGAGAACCTGCCAGGTCTCCCAGCAGAGGGGGTGTCCCTAAGCCGCTCTGCCTTAGGCGGAGAGCTAGTCTCCAGAGCTGACCTCTTAAGTAGGGAACACAGGTGCATGTTGGGTTGGCCCACATTTCGGACGCCGGGCTGGGTTGACGACAGCCTGTGCAAAGGTTGCAACGTTGAAAGTCATCGAGCGGGGGGGGCCGAAGGTGAACGTTAAGCAAAGTTTAACCACTCACAGCCAGGAGCTGCGAAACGGATGACACATTTCATGCCATCTGACTCTGGCCCCGCATTCTTTTTCATTTGCTTTAAAAAGTTTATGTCGAGGACAAGCCAGAGGTAAAGGGACCCCCCCGCCCCACCAGCACTTAGGGCACCGCCAGGGTGCAAATGAAACGTTCTGATAAAGCTCACAGCCTTGAGGGAAGTTTCAAGTGGCTTATTGCCTTGGTTTTCTCTTATCTGCCACTCAGCAGCAGGCAGAACTGAAGGACACGCTCTGCCTCTGGCTCTGCGGGCTATGTCTGTTCTCGCCGGAGACCGTCACTGGTGACCTGAGTGTCTGGCTACTCGCTTCTCTGCGGGGCTCTCTATGTAACGGACTCGAGGTCCGGAAGGCACCTCCGTGGAAGAAGTCTGTTCTCGGCTGATGGAGTGAGTGGGTGTGTGCACGCACGAGGCGAAGAGGGAAGTTACTCTCTGCATGCAATGAGCCCAATCATCCCGATTCCTTTGCAGAAGAGCCTCGTCCCGCCCTTCTCCTGTTTCCTCTTTGTGGCTTGAATGATATTTAGCTCAGATCTCAGGTTCTTGGTCTGCAGTAGGATCCAACAGGTGTGGGGAAGGGGCCCAGGCCCACGGCCAGGGCATCGCTCATGCGGTCTCTGCCACATGATCCACATCCGTCTTAGGGCTCGGGGAGCCTTCTCACAGGCCCGCATTTCAGAGCAGGGCCTCATAAAGCAGGCAACGCTAAGACCGAAATAATGTCATTTAGTGTCTAGGGGGAGGTTAAAAAGAGGATTAGAGGCAAGCAGGCAGGCAGGGTATATTAAACGAGTCCATGACTAACAGGGTGTGACAGAAAAGGGTTTTACTCTTTTCAACAAAACAATTCCCTAGGGCTGGGACCATTACTCTGCTGTGCCTTTATCACCTTGGAATTTTTATGGTTATTTTTGATGAATTCACATTTTTGTAAAGGCGTTTTTGAAATGATGCCAGTTTTCAATTTTTAATTAAAGTCGTAAATAATCTTAATTCTGCCTTAAAAGGTTTATTGTTTCTTACTTCTTCTTCTTCTTCTTTTTTTTTTACATTTTATTATTGCTGCCAGGAAATATTTCAAATACCAAGCACTGATGTGAGTTAGCAATTAGGATCTCTCCAAGGTCTAGTAACGACGGTGTACACCGTGTAAATATTACACACCAGAATACCAGCACGAGGTTTGAAAACAGGGATTGGCTGATTTCAGGTGAATTCACGCCGCTTCTCCCGGGAGTGGCATTTCCTCTTTTTATTGGATGGAGCAACTTTCATCATTTTAATTTTCACAGATTAACTTGTCACTGATTTACAACAGATTTTAAAAATCTTCAGATTAAAAAGACAGGTCACTAAGGTCTGGCAGTGAAATGCAGCCAAATCAGTTCACCCGTTTGTAGGAAACAGGGTGCACCCCGAAGCCAAATCACCACAGAGTGCCTCGTTTTACGTGAGACAAAATGAAGAGAATACCGCAATATCTGATGTCAGGTGATGATACTGCCTCACTGATGGAGGCTGGCTGCACAAATTGTCCGTGAATGTCTCCTTTGTAGTCTCAGGGTCTGGTTTTCTCTTTTTAAACTAGTGCTTCAATATTCTTTCACACAGTCCAAACGATGCTTCCTTTATACAGAGGTGGAGACAGACCACGTTTGAACAAGAGAAATCAATTAATTAATAAGCTCTGAAAATATCTCATTAGGTTTCCAGACCTACTGTCAACCTAGGTGACCTTTGTAAGTTGAATATCAAATGTGGTGCTCATCTGTTTGGATGTGGGACTTATACTCCCTCTTGTCTGTCGCAAGAGTTCCTCTCCGTGAAGGTGCCTCATACGGTAAAACACCACACCTTTCAGACAACTATTAGGAGGTGGATGGTCAGATTTAAGAGAAAAAAACTTGCTAGAAGGTTTTTGTTTTGTTTTTTAATTTTTAAAAATTTTTGATTCAGAGAGAGAGAGAGAGACAGAGCACAAGCAGGGGAGGGTCGGACAGAGGGAGACACAGAATCTGAAGCAGACTCCAGGCGCTGAGCTGTCAGCACAGAGCCTGACACGGGGCTCGAACTCATGAACTGGGAGATCATGACCTGAGCCAAAGTCGGATGCTTAACCAACTGAGCCACCCAAGTGCCCCTGTTTTGTTCTTGTTTTTTAAACAAGACAACTTAGCCCTTCATGTTCACAAGACACACACAGAGATACCGACAAAAGCCAGTAGACCATGGTCCGGCAACACAGTATGCCAACGTTGGTGTTGTCCAAATATTAAGTTATCCTTCTTACAACTTCGTATTATTAATTCACTTAGCAGCTCCTTACTCTTCTACAAAATAGGAACATCTTCAGTGCACGTTGAATGATCATCTGTTATCCGTTTATTCCAATAGAAGACATTTATAGAAAAAAAAGATTTTAACAGCTGGCTTACAAGAGTGGTTTGTATACAATTAAGGGCATCTATCAAATCCTTCCAACCGGGCGTTTTTCTAACTCACGGGGAAGAGGTCAAATTCCTTCCATACACGAGCCCTCAACTGGCATTTTGCTAATACCTCTCAAGGAAGAAAACCCTCAAGTAAAAAAAAGACTACACAGCATTTCCCAACATAAAAGCGTTAAATCCCTATAAACCAGGAAAGAATGCCCAATTCTAGTTAAGGAGAAGCCATGGTGACCTGAACACCAGGGCTGCGGGGTTCAATCACATCACGGGGTTAAAGAACTTGGAGTAAGTTGAATCTTAAACTTCCCTTAAATTTGTTACGAAGGGCCCTTCAATGAATCAGGGACCATCTCAACACAAATTAGACACTCAAAAAGCTAAGGTCAGCTCAAGGTGGTTTTCTGCCATGGTCAGAAGGTACTTGATCCAAAAAGTTAGGAACTCAATTATTGGGAAGAGCCTTGAAAGCTGCTAAGCTCCTTGTCACCACGGGGCTAACCACTTGCTAGAGATCTCATGAGGTCAAGAGAAAGAGGGAGAGAGAGAGAGAGAGAGAGAGGGGCTGGTTGATCTTTAACATTTCTCCCAAATCCGAAACACTATGATTTCTCTGTGCTTTGAAAAAACCACGTTAATTCCTCACCAGTATCAAAGTCATTTTAGATTCAATTCCCCTCTCGGATTTCCATACGCAGCACCTGTTAAGAAACGTGTTTTTCCCTAAGCTTAACGGGAGGGATGCTCTGTACTTACTCATCTTCGAGATGCACCCACCTTCTCCATCAGAACTGACAGGGTTTTGGCCAACTGATATTTTATGAAAAAGCACTTATCTCCAGAAAGGGTTTTTGTTGTGCTGTTTTTCCCAATTCAATTTTCTTTAGCTATTTGGACTTAGTTTCCATAAAAGTCTTTTGTTATTCTCCGGGTAGGTGACTTTCACTAATTTCCTCTGCTTCTTATTATACAGGCCTTCCCCAGAAATTCCTATCTGGTTGTATGCGCTATACAAACCACAGCACTGCCACTGCTTCAGGGAAGACGTTCCCCCTCAGAGAGTCTCATGCATGCAAACACCTTGAGAAGTCGGAGGATTCCAATACCCTACACAAGGTGCCAGTACTGCAAGAGTAATTTAAATGTGCCTTTCCTGGCTGGATATACCCTCTTTTGAAGTTACCTTTTTTCTCGCTTGTTGATCTTTGGAAGAATGTGCCTTCACATGCTTTCTTAGGGAACTTGGGTCTGTGTAGCGTTTGGTGCATCCTGGAATTTGACAAGCATAAGGTTTCTAAATGAGAAAGAAAAGAAAAAAACAAAAACAAAAAACAACAGCTGTAGTTAAATCATAAAGGAAACCGGGGGAGATTTACTCCAGAGTACTGACTTCAGAGCATGAACTGTGACCAACTGCCTGATGTGAACTGCTGGGTAATACTTCTGCATTTTCATTAGAAAGCCCAGTAAGTTTGCATCAAGGCAAAGGGGAGAGTCAACTTTCCAAGCAACAAGGAGACCGCGTTAGGGGTGTGCTCTTCCCCCAAAAGCTCTTATGGCATTTCTGGATGTGGAAATCATTAGCCAGCGTCTCTGGTCATACTTACAGTTATGTTCCCCTGCAAACAATCTCAGGTACTGTCAGAAACTAGGAAACACACATTCTCTAAGAGTTCAGTTTTAAGAAGCTGCAGAAAAGTCCAGAAAAGACTGGGAATATTTCAGAGGAAACCTGATTCAGAAAGAGAGAAGCAGAGAATTAAAAGGGAGGGTTAGTGGAAAGTGAGTGAGAGAGCACAGGTTTCACACAACAGACACATGCAAACTCACCCAGAGAAACATTGATCTTATTAAGCCGGGGGGGGGGGGGGTGCTCAGCTGGGTTACACGCATAAGCCCCTGGCTGAGTATTATGAGAACACAAGTTTTGGCTACTTCCAATACCTCCAGGCTCCTGAGATGTGAGGTATAGAGCCTAAGGCTGAGTCTAGAATCTTTTTAATTTTTGCACCCCTGGTAATTGGAATATAATTATTAACAATGAATGAATGGATGGGAGCACACTATATATCAGTTCAATGTTTAGCATCTATTCCTGCTGTAATAACAGAATTATAGCAAGGATTCGAGAGCATTGGCTTTTAAGTTATGGAATAAAGTGGAACTCTCTGTTTACTCAAAGGACTAAATAAGAAATCACAAGATAAACCGAGTAAGTCACAGCTTATAGTCACTCATCGACTTTGTACCTCAGTAGGTGACATTAATTGGAGTTGTGCCCACGTTATTTGAAATGTAAGGAGGAGAAGGGAAACCCTGCCCCTAAAATAGGATTCTCGCTCTAGGAACCTCCTCTTCTATCAACCAAAAAGAAAAAAAATCATTAAAAAAAAAATTGTTTATACTTTGCTCCTGCTTCCACATATATGCTCAACACGCACATGACGACATATATGTGGATTATTACCCCACTGGGCATATTTATGCTTTGCTTCTTTGTTTTTGCCATTTTTAATTCCAAGCACAAGGTAAAGTCATGAAGATATAATTTAGTTTGACACTCCCAACTTGAATTCTAAGTTTGATTTCTGTTCCTTGACTGACTGACTGACTGAATCGCCCCACAGGTCCTATGGTGTCATGGCGTGCTGAGCACTGCATTATAGACAAGAACACTGACAATGAGCAATGGATGGACCAGTCTCTCCATATCCCAGTGCCTGCAAATGGTGAGCCAACAGGGGCTGAAGCCACCAGCCAATGTGTTTCCCTTGGGTAAACAGAGGGATTCTTTCACCTGGGAATCCCTTCTGGGTTCGCACAGCGTTCTGGCCATAGTCTTCCCAAACTTGCCCTGGCTTTAGGAGAGCACCCAGCAAATATCTTTATTAGCAGTCATGTTGTGACCACATAAAATCGCATTCTAAGCACTAGAGGAGACGTTGCATGTAAAAAAACGCTGGGAACATTTACACGTTATATAAACCAATCACGCTATTATTACCACGGTCACTAATATTTGGGCTGAAAAGAAAAGGAATGGGTAATGTCATTTCGTATTTGATTTTGAGATATTCTTGAAACATCCCTCCCAGCTGGCCTTCCCTCTCTCACCTGCTGTCAGTCACCTGGGATCAGTATGCCAAAATAGCAATGTCAGGCTAGTCCAAAGGGGACGGGTATACTGGTAATCTGATCTCAGGTTACCTAAGCTTTAAATGGCAGGCTATACTTTATTAAACTATATTTTCCATAGCGCTGTAAAATCATTTCCCCTGTTTAGACAGTACGATGCTAACAGAGCAATAAGTTAATAAAACTTTTCAGGGTTGGAATTTTGAACTTGGGAAAAATCATTTTCCTAGAAGAATCCCCTGAGTGGAAGAAAGAAACTTTATCCAACATTCTGACAGCATTAGCATACGGAGTGCTTAATGAAAGGAAATGGGGGCCTAAATTTAAATAATACATTCTTCAAGCAGCTCCAGTTTGCTTTTTAAAACAAATGTTTAATTTCTGCACAATTAAAAAAGAACTTACCAATTCATTTAACGCAATAAAAATTTAAACAGGAGCTAGGTTTCATCTTAAAGGAAGAACGATGGTTTTAGAAGATTTAAGAGAGAGGTATTTAAAAAAAATAAAAATAGCTGGGTTTAAAAAGCTACTTGCATTGAACTGAATCATGAAATTATTATCTGTGGTAGCTTTCCTCAAAAGTTTTAGAAAGTGATTTAAAAAAAAATTCCAAAATGATTTTAGAAAATGCTCATAGTCTGATTAGCTAAAATTAGCTCCGCGTAAAAAAGGGTATTGTAAGAGCCTAACACTTAGGCTTACAATAGTTCTTACAAAACTACAGATAACCAGCTAGAGGGGAGGCAATTTCTGGAGACAATCTTGTCTCGTGAATGCTCATTCTTCCATGATAAAGTTTAATGACAAATTGGAAAATTTATTAGATTCTACCAAGACCATTTTAGACATTCAAAATAGGGCATTTTAACATAATTTATTCTTTTTTCCCCTATTTCTACCTTTCAAAATCCTGCTACTCACCAAATTTATTCATTTCATATTCCACTCTGGTCGTCCTAAAATCACAGAATTCAATTCAGCTAGAGCAGAATGGGGCTATCCTGCACCCCTATTGCTCTGATTATATTTCAGCTATTTACCAGGCAAACCATCACATTTATGTGTATTAGGAGATAATTCTGTTTAGAAAGGTTATGTGACATATAGCTAAAACGACTTCTATCAATATGACTAATAGAAACTAATATAAAATTTAATAAATATGTCAACTATAACATCAGAAGAATCTTAAATATGTATGAGAAGGTGTGTAGAAATAACAGTATCTTTTCAAAATTCAAATTCTGGTGTAGTTTAATAATAGACATCGGAACATTAACACTGAAAAAGTACTGTCATGAATATATTATTTGCAAGAACGTGGGATAAGAGCTCTGTGATGTGTATGAGACATCCATCCTGATGGCTTTGTTAAGTGAAGTGAAACCGCACAGAGTCCACGTGGCCTCAGAACTTGAGAAACGCAAAGGAGGACAATCAACAGAACTGAGAAAATAAGAGAGTCTCAGAAAGTGAGCAAAACGCTAACAGCGCTGAGAGGGTTAAGGCGTAATAACAGCCATCAATCGTTCTCATGGGGGCTCTGTACATGGATCTGTGGCTGTTATCACACGGGAGGCATGAGGAAACTTAACCCCGGGGAAAGATTTGTGGATTCTTTGCAGATCACCCCGAAGGTGAAAATGCCAGGTGGTTTCTCTTAAAGGGAATGGTCAGACTCACCCAGTAACCATGCCAGCCTCAAAGTTCTTAGGTCAAAGAGAAAAGAACCAAGGTAAAAAAACCAAAACCAAACCAAACACCCCCCAAAACAGCTTCATATCTAGCAATAGTAGATATTATCTATTTTAGCATCTCGATATTTGAATACTTATTATAATGCCCAATCTTCACAGTCATTCTCTGTACTAAAATCTGCTATATGACGCCCCGGAATGCCTCTGCTTTGTACGCACAGGCAGTCAAGGAACGCCTCTGTCTCAGGGGGTTGTGATATTTAGGGGAACCTGTGACTATAGAAAAATGAGGAAAGAGCCAGACAGGGCCCGTTCTGGACCTTTACCAAGGTTCCACGGCTGCCCTTGGCACTGCCCCTATCATCTGCAGACCACAAAGTGAACACCTTCACCGTCCCACTATCAGACGGGCGCTTCCGCACACCAGGGCTCGGGGCAGGACGCCGGAACACCCCTGCGGTCCTTACAGTGTCCACGTGTGTCCTCTGGTGCTTGGCTCGGTCGCTGGAGTTACTGAACGCCTTCTGACAGCCGGGGTGCTGGCACAGATAGGGCTTCTCGCCTGTGTGGCTCCGCAAGTGAATCTTGAGATTCTCAAGCCTTGAAAAGGCCTTCTTGCAACCTTCAAACTGCAAAAAGAAAACAAGTTTTAGCTGTTGAGAAGGAGCTTGAATGTTTGGGTCTGGGGGACAGGAAAGAAAAAAAAAGGTCCTTAGTGTGTATTTAGCCTGAACCAAAACACAAAAATAATAAAATAAAATGAAATCCAAACAGTAACAAATATTACTTCTAAAAATATCCACATATTTATGTGAACTGCATTTTTCCACTAATATACATGCCACTTTCCATACCAGATCTGGGTCCCAACCTGATTTCTGTGATTACTTATGTCAGAGAAAATTTGCTGTGAACCATCTGGCTCAGTTAATAAAAATACAGTAAATGCGTGTCTTAAAGGCTTATGAAAAAATTAACACACTTTTCCATTTCCAAATTGCTCTAAATGGAAGGAACCAGGAAGGAAGAAACTTTTGACAACTAATAAACTAACAACAACAGAAAAAAAATCAAAGTGATGTATGAGAATAAAGGTGAGCTGGAGACCTGAGGGTCCAAGACGAAAATGGCGTGTTTTCTTGGAATCGTTAATGGTCATAAACTTCCTGAACCACCTCAAGGAGTTTTTCAACTCCCCAAAGAGTGACTGTTCATGTCCACTGTGATGCCAAGCCTAATGAGATGAAGTCTTTTTAGCATTCTTTTTAAAAGAGGAACTTGAACACAATTCATTTAAGCGCTGGGAACAGTTTCCAAATAAAGTGATAGTTCTACTTATTTTTATTTTTCTAAGAAATGTTGTTACCTAGTTCATGAAGAGAGGAACTGAAAATGAAAGGCTGGAGATTTCAAGAAATGCTTTACTGGTTTGTCAATAATATTTATTGATGGTACTATTTGCTTCATGTCTTCTGTGGGTAAAATAACAGCTCTTAGTTAAGAGGCTCAAAGGGAGTCCAGTCTGGAGGTGGCCGTCTAATAAAGAGGGCGTGTTAGAGAAAGCCTGTAAAGGAAGCATAAATGTGAGGTGGGCACATTCCCTTGGACTCTCTCTTCGCTGCCAAGCCCCAGAACACTGATGCCACTCTGACAATTTGAATCCCATTTGAGTTCCCACTGCAAAGGAAATGTAGAAATATGGAAAAGGTACCAGAACAAAGCCTAGTGTGTTTCAAGCGATCAAAAGACCTCATTTCTCAGAGAGAAACGTGGCGGGTTGGGGGAAAGGGCAGAAGAGGAGTAAAGAAGGTAAGTTCAGGATGGTTTCCATTCAAAACCAGCAGGTGTTACTTCACCTTACCATACAGCATTTTATAAAATTCCTCGGTTCTCTCACTCATTATGAGAGATGATGGAGCACGGGGAATTGGGAAGGGATGATCCAGAGCTGGCCAGGCTCTGGCTATTTGAGATTTCATCTTTAAGTGAAGGATGAACTGAGGAGAAAGGATAAGCAGACATGTCATAACTCCATCTATTGAAGTCGTCCAGATTTTGCGTGCTGGAGTATTTTAAGAAATTTATGAAAGTTGCACTTACGCTTGATTGAGAGTTATACATGTTTCACAGACATATGTTGGTTTATTTCAATTTTGATATTTTGCTTAAAATAATTTTGGTGTTTTCCTGATTTCGATTTCACATAAAAATAAATTTAGCCTGAACAGAAGAGGATTTGCTGATGAAGCCAGTGCTTTTTCAACAGAGTGGAAGGCATATGATGACACACTGCTCGGGACGGACCAAGGACTTAAGTGGCTTACTTCTGTGGGTTTTCAAGTGGGTCAAATCCAAGAATAAAGGGGCTCGATGCTGACACCCAATTCATGGCTAAGAGGCCTCTCCTGGCCAAACCTCTGTTTTGAAGGTTCTCTCTGCATGATGACTTGGAGCAAAGTGCCAGAGCTCAGCTGACCTGACCAGGAGTCACCCAGTGGACCATAGTGGGGTCTGAGATGAGCTTGTGGTCATGGACCCCTCAAGCCTGCAGTCTAGTTCCCGGCATGGCTCTTTTGTAGGAGAGATGCTGTTCTGGGGCCAGCACCGGGCTACAGACCTAAACCCAGGGAGGCCCCAGCCCCCACCCTCTCGTCCAGTCGTCCCAGATGCTGGTCAGAGGTAAGGCTGCATGGGGTTGGAGAAGCACTTCAGAACAGATGAATGAGGTTTCTCCAAACAGCAGACACACAAGACCCCTGACTTACCGCAGAGTGACCAGAGGGATCTCAAACACATCCTAGAGCTAATTTGGACCGTCTGCCTGATCGCACATCAACTGGATGTTAGACTGGGGTTTCCACGCTCTCTCCTGTTAAATGTTCAGTAAAACATCCAGTGAAAATCAATGAATTGCTATTATTACTATTAACAGCAGCAGCGATCTAAGACCAAGCGGCTCACGGCATTCCAAGACAGGAGTGAAAAGTGACTTGCATCTCGGAATCTCTTGCATCTCCGAACATTATGACCATGTTTAAAGAGCAAAGATGGAGGAAACTAGGAGCGCCTAGACAGAAAATGACAACCACAAGATCACCTACAAAATCATGAAAATCCAGCTGGTCTCAGATGCCTCCCCGGCAGCAGGAGAGGCTGGAAGGCAATAGTGTCTGCGGTACCCGCACTAGGGTTACATTGTATTTTCAGGGGAAAAGATTAACAGTGAAGGGGTTTGTCCCCACTGGGTTGTATGAATAAAAGGCAAGAAAAAGGCAATTTCTTGGACTCAGGGGCTCATAATACATACCACCCACTCACTCTTGGTGAAAAAATTCACTTGAAACCATGAACCCCAAACTCATAGAGTCAGGCACCGAGATTGACAAACGCCTCCTTGGTGGGGGGGAGGGCCTAGCACCTAAGGCATCACGGCCAGCTGGAGGGCACCACACCTGAGTGAACTTGCCACACCAATAGATCTGCAAAAGGGGAAGGAGGTGCCGTTCATTTGACTAATGGTGTCTGGATGATACTTGAAGGCAAACCATTTTGTAATGAATCATTATCATTCATTATGAGAATAACCCTGTAATTCAACACAAGAATTTCCTTTCCCGCAGGGCAATTTTACCCCTAGATTTATAAATTCAGTTAAATGCAAATGCATTAAAAATAAACTAACATTTAGATAGAACTATAAAAGACTGTTACAAAATACTCCAAAACGGGATGCTTTGGGTGTCTGGGCAAATGGATGCCTTTTTCCTTATTATTATGTTGCTTTTCCTTTTTTTATTTCATGTTTTCTAAAATCTTTAATGAGTGAGTTTCGCCTTGTGAATGAACATCTAAACCTAGAAAAGCAAGGACCACAGAAAGACTGTTTCCTTGGGTTTAGCCAAATGCTTTCCCATCAAGTTTCTTCTAAAGTACCAGGTGCATCCTGAGATCTAAGTATCACCTGCCTGCTTGTGACCAGCTTACACCGAAGTAACCAACAAACCACACTCGGGTCCTCTCCTTCCCCGACTGGCTGTAGGGCTACTAGAACCAGGCAACGGAGCCCGGGGTTCCCTGTGGTTCAAGGCAGCATGCAAAACGACAAGAGATGAGATAAACTCTCAGGATCCGAGGGGGCAGCAGGAGGAGGAAACAGAATGTGAAAGACAGACAAATACAGGATGGCCACGTGGGAGGGAGTGGGGGTGGGGCAGAGGGGTCTGAGATATGCTAGTTAATTACATGTAAATGACCTTCTTCCTTTGTCCCCAGCAAATACTGGGCAAGCCCTCTGAGCGAGGCACTATGTGTGTTAGGCACTGGGAGGGACAGTATGAATGAAACTCGAACTTGACTCATGGAAAGATGGAAGCAACAGCTTACACACTGATGAACCCTGAGCAGGGATTCTCACGAATTCCCAGGGGCGCCTCGGTGGCTCAGTTGGTTGAGTATCAGACTTCAGCTCAGGTCGTGATCTCACAGTTTGTGGGTTTGAGCCTCATGTGGGGCTCTGTGCTGACAGCTCAGAGCCTGGAGCCTGTTTCAGATTCCGTGTCTCCCTCTCTCTCTGTCCCTCCCCTGTTTATTCTCTGTCTCTGTCTCTCTCTCTCTCTCAAGTAAATAAACATTAAAAATTTTAAAAATAAATATAGATTCCCAGCCCCACCCAGATGTACAGAATAGAACCTCCGGGGTGGGGGCCCAGCCATTTGAGTGTTGATAAGCCTTCCAGGAGATTCTGACGCTCTATATCTGTGAATGCCATCCACATCATAACCACTGTCCACTTGCTTCGGAAAATCTCCCGACAGAAGTAAAGCGTCTTGCAGAATTCATGCACTTCTAATCCGGATGGGAGCTACGTGAACCAGCAGCGGCCCTGGCCTGGAGAGGAACATCTCTGTTGTTGGGGGAATGCCGGGTTCTTCCTGGTCACATGGCAAATGGCACAAAATTTCAGAATGCCAAGCTCGTACTAGAGATTCTTTAAAATTCCCAACTTTAAAAAAAAAAAAAAAAATTCCCAACTTTTGGGGCGTCTGGGTGGCTTAGTTGGTTAAGCGTCCGACTTTCGCTTAGGTCATGATCTTGTGGTTCATGGGTTCGAGCGCCGCCTCGGGCTCTGTGCTGACTGACAGCTCAGAGCCTGGAGCCTGTTTCAGTCTGTGACTGCCTCTCTCTCTGACCCTCCCCTGCTCATGCTGTCTCTCTCTCTCTCTCTCTCTCTCCTAGAAATAAATAAAAAACATTAAAAAAAAAATTTAAAATTCCCAACTTTTGAATCTTCTGTCAGGCAGATACTGCTTCTGAAAGAGGCTATTGCCTACGAGTTCGCTCAGTGGCCTCCTGACCAGCCAAACATTCCAGTTTCTAGCAGCCCTTACATTCCCCTGTTGAGAAAAAGCACGGAAAAGGAGCCAGCACTTTCCATCTGCACATTTCGGTTGCTCTACAGAGCGTAGAAGAACAATGCATGAAACTGTAAGTGACAGATCTTTAACTCTCATGGGTTTTGCAAATACTGCATTGTGTGAAGCCTCACTCAGAGAAAAACTTCCAACTCTGAGGCTGTTTTCAAGTAACAAACTTTAATTAAGAAGTATAAATTGCCTCAAACCCAGAGAAC